ACACACACACACACACACACACAACACAGACAGAAATAGCTTACAGATAACAAGATCACCCAGGAACTACTAGACCTACGTTTGCAAGAAGAGAGACACAAAGCCATGAAATGAAATCAACAAACTTTGACTACTACAATGCGTCATCGTCAGCACATTAAAATTTAAATCAAACTCCGGCCAGTGGCAGGCAAAACGCAACCCCTAAACGTGACCACGAACGTTACGGATAGTCAAAAATAAACGTTTTCTGCAGTTTACAGCTGCCTAAACTGCAAACCGAGTGCCTCGAAATTCTTGTTTGTGTAAATTTACTCAGAACTAGATGGATTGATAGGGTCACCAACGAGGAAGTGCTTAGAAGAAGGAGGGAGGCCAATCAGAGATGAAGTGGGAAGAAGGCGGTGGCGATGGATTGGACAAACTAACACTAAGGAAGCCAGGCATTTGCATAACAAAGAAAATGCTGGACCGGAATCCACAGGGTAAGAGATTAAAGGGAAGGCCACGTGGAACTTGGAGAAGAGTCACAGAGAAATATGTACAGAAAAGTAGGAAGACATGGAGTAACATCAAGAGGCTGGCTAAGGATACGGTAAGACGGCAAGTGTTTGTCTGTGGCGTATACCTTGATGTAGGATGGGAAAGACAGGGATGACGAGGGAAGTACAGTTATATTTTCTGGCTCCCTAAAAATTATGGTCAGAGAACTCTGTTACTCGACAAAAATGTTCTCCTCACTCGGGAATTGTACTTCGGTCTCCTGTTTGGGACACCGAAGCGCTTAACTGCTACACCACATACGACAGTGCCAGGTAACTCAACACCCGAAGTTTGGTGGCAATGGTGTATAGACAATACACTATCTCAGAGTTACAAAGTTCTATCTGACATTTAGGCCGTTTTGGAGATACGAAGATCATGAGGTCAGAAATCAAATGTTTTATCTGCTCTATCAAAACCGTACGATTATTCGGAGTTGTTATCAAAATATTCAAAGACTTGCATTCGAAAAAGCTTGACAAGTGAAATCAAAAATCGTTTACGCACGTCAAATGCATCAAAACTAAGTACTGATCAGATAGAAGTTTGTAATTCTGAGGCAGCAAGTAATCTCAGCGCGTGCGCTTGATGCCACATTTGTTGTTGGAAATGAATTTCTGGGAGGCGAAAACAACGGGTGTATACCACGGGCAGACCTGTTGAAAGGCTAGGAAAATGTACAGCTCCGGGTACCAACACTGATTTTCTGAAGGATCATTATCATAATAACATCTTGCCCGTTAGAATAACTACAACAAGTAGCCCACGGGGCACTGGGTGACCTGGGCAGAATGATGCATATGGCTAGGATGGACGATGCCGATGGCTCAGGTCTGACAGCTATTATGAAACGGAGGTATCAGCAATTAGTTCCGTCTCTCCAACAACATAATGCCCTGGCACCCATTACTGGGCAGTTGCAGTGGTACAGATAG